TCCGCTTTGATCTCTGCACAAATGAATGCCAAGCAGGGACACGATCTGAGACTAGAACAGGTTGCTGGAAGCCCTTCTCCCCCTTGTAACTTTCTCGATAACTTTATTCTTCTGTTCTTTGAAGGTCCGCATGATGTTTGGCAATGACAAGAAGCTCATCCTACCCATTGTCTACGATCTGGCCAATCTGGTCAAGAGTTCTACACGAAAATATCTCAATCTAGAGTCCGATTTGGCTGCCGCTTCGGCTTCGGTTACGGCTCTGTTTCAAGATCCTTCGCTGCAGCGCAGACAGGATCAGCTGACGGTGGCGGAATCGGAGCAGGATGATCGTGTGGGCACCATCGATGTCAGCGGCAAACCAGCGGAAACCAGTGTTCAGCCAGAGGCTGTCAGCTCTCTGGAAGATTTCTTTGAGGAAATGCAATCCGATGTGCTCGATCCACAGATGATCAATGAGGCGCTACAATCCGCAGAGAGTACGCAAAGAAATTCCTCGAGTAAAGACTACAAACGCGTGCGACGTTCTGCCAATGAATTTGTCCATAAACTGACCCGCTCCGTGCCCATTTCGGTGACAGAACAACAGCTCCAGGGCGGCATCGCCGGACGCACTGTGCGCTTGAACACAACATCATTTCAGCAGTCTCCGAGCAGCAGCGCCAATCAAACCTATGTGGAGATTGAGGATCTCGCCTTTGCCGGTCTCAATGGCACCGAAGTGCTGCCGCTGAGCGCCGATGAGCGCTTGGACTTGCAGCGCAACAGCGGCGAGGAGGCGCTGCCGGAGGAGCCGCTGCCCAGCCCAGAGGAACTGATTGCAGGTCCACGCTATCGCCAGGGCAAACGCCCTTTGCCTGGCCATAAGTCACAGCCCGTGAAGCGCAAGCGACTGCAGACAGGCAGCCTGCGGGGCAGACCCAAGACCTCGGCCAGCAGCCACAAGCCGCAGGTGGTGCCGCCGCTGGTGGTGGCGCAACGTAAATGCGAGCGATTCACCAGCAACATGTGCATTCGCACCGATGACTATCCGCTGTAAGAGTTGGTTTAACCCGTAGCTAGTCCTCGGTCAAGGGTTTCCCCCGTAGTTGTTAAGACCCTAATTTAATGAGATTTTAGTTTAAAAATAAAAAAAAAGCTCTTCCTTCCCACACACCGCTTATTGTTGCACCTAAGCTTAGTTTTTGTCCGGTTGCGGTGGTTGAAGGTGGTTCTCGAGAGACTTTTAAATATTAAAAAGAAAATCAAATAAAATTCCAACAGCGAACAGATCATGGGCAGCATTCGACGCCACAAAAATGCAATGTCCGCGCTGCTGGCCGAGTTCTACGACAAACCCAACAACAATCTGGAATTTGGCGATGATTTTGATGATTTTAGCTTGAACAAAAAGCGGTAAGAAAAGCACCAAAGATCTCTACATGCAAACCACTTTAATCTCTCTCTCTCTCTCTCTCTCTTTTCTCTCCCTGACAGTCGCGAGGATGAAGGCAGCAGCGCTGGCGGCATGTGCCTCAGCGTCGTGCGTTATGCTCGCCCACAGAAAGCCAAATCTGCGTCCGGGGAGTGGAAATACATTGTCAACACGGGCCAGCACACCCAAACACTCAGGCTGGAGAAGTGCAGGTGAGTTCCCTCTGAGCTCTCTCAACTCTAGCAACTTTTGAACAACAATTCCCCAAATCTTTGCAGCAACCCCGGGGAGAGCTGCTCGTACCTGGCGCAAACTTATCGCTCGCACTGTTCGCAGGTGTACAACTATCATCGTTTGCTCAGCTGGGACAAGGTGCGTGGACTGCATGTGGACATCTTCAAGGTGCCCACGTGCTGCTCCTGCCAGGTGGATGGCTACCGGCAGCAGTTTCCGCCGCTGTCCTCCATCCAGGCGAAGGACTACTCGCCGCTGGCCAACTACAAGCCGGAAAGTGTCGCCCCGAATGGCGGCTACAGCACCATCAACGAGGAGGATCTGGACTATGCCGATGAGAGCGATGAGGATGAGCTGGGTCTGGGCCTGCGCTATCCCACCTTCAATGGCCGCGACACCAACGAGCTCTATGCCGGCGGCAGCAAGAAGCTGCGCGGCGCCTCAACCAGTGTTGGGCCGTACCTAAGTCCGCCCGATGATGATGTCGAGGAGGAGCAGCAGCAGCAGCAGCAGCAGCAGCGGTTCAGTGGCTACAAGAGTCACAGTCACAGTCACAGTCACAAGAGTCCGGGTGCGAGTTCTAAGAAATATTACAGCCAGGTGAGCAGCCGCCGACGGCCGCATCAGCAACAACAACAGAATGAGGCACGAGTGGACTTGGATTTGGCGCCAAGTGAAATGCATACGGACCAAGAGGTAAACGTAAACCTGCTCAGTGCTGCTGGGGAGAAGCCCATCCAGCGTCAGCCCATCAATCGCAAGCGTATTTATACCTCCACCCACCCCAACACAGCCGCCGCAGCAGCATCCTCAACATCGTCCGCTGGAGGAATCCGGCTACGCGTACCACAGACCACAAGCCTACCAGCCCGTACAGGAACCGCTGCTGCCATCAGCTCCCATACCAGTGGCCATGCCACCCATGCCCATCAAGCAGCTGCCGCAGCCCCCGCATTCCCTGTTGCATCCTCAACAGCTGCGACATCTCAGCCTGCCTTCGTCCAGCGCAATCAGCAGCCCTTCAACGGCGGCAGTGGCAGCAAATCGCGACCCCGCTTCTATGCCCCACCAGCGACAACGCCCGTGGCAGTCGCACCAAACCCAATCTCAGTGGCAGCCAGCCCAGCGTCGCCTCTACCGACAGAGCGCACCACAAAGCAGCAGCAACACCAACAGCAGGGCCAGCAGCAGCATAAGTCGACGGCATTTCCACAGCCGCCGACCGGCGTCTATCATGTGAACTCGAATTCCATTTACACCAGCAGCAGCAGCGTCGATGGGCCAAGAAATGGAACCAAACGCATCAACTACAACTATCATCCCATCATCGACTTCTTCGAGAAGAGCAGCAGCAGCAGCAGCAGCAGCAGCAGGAGGGCAGAGCCGGCAACTGCAGCACCTGGCGGCCTAACAGACTACGACATGGAGGAGTCGCAGCTCGTGGAGCAGCGTGTCTATCCACAGAGGCCAGCGGGCTCAGGCATGGCCACTGGTGTCTTTCAGCATCCCATTCCCATACAACCCACAATATCCCACGAGCGGCGCATGGGCTTTGGTGGTGCTGGTGCTGGTGCTGGTGCTGGTAGCGTGGGTCTTGGTGGTGCTGGTGGTTTGGGTGGCTTTGCCAATGACAATGCCTGGCAGCCCATGGTTGTGGCATCCTAAACATAAGTCGCATGATTCTGCCTCTGCTTCCAGTTCGATTTTCCCCCCACTAACGTATTAAACAGCGCCCGAAACGCTGACCATTAGTCTGTAGCCTCTGCCGCTCACTTGCCTGCCCGTCAACCCGCTCCGAGACTCCATTGGGAGCGCATAATCAAGTAGTTGTCTAGTTATCAATTCCGCTAATCTCTCCCCAGATGACCCTTGCCCCCTGCCCCATGTTGCCTTGCCCATTCCCCCTGCTAATGTTTAACCCTTCTATGTTTATCTATTTATTTATTTATTTTGTAGTGTGTAGTGAATGACTCAAAATGGAAGAGAGAGAGAGAGAGAAACCTATCGCAAGAGTTTTAGCAATAAAATATAATTTATGGAAATTTATGCGTGTATTTTTGATATGGGAAAAGTAAAGGAAATCCATGCAATTACCTTTTATATTGTTAAATTCTCTGGATATCCAGTTCCACTGTTCCACTGCTTTTAACTCGTTTCGTTTTAGTGGCGCCTCCGGGCAAAATACATGTGCGGTTGATTTTGGAACCAACGATTGTGTGCACGCATGCAAAAGCTGGCTGCTGTGTGAAACTGCAAAGAAAAAACAAAGAACAAAATTAAAGTTTCGGCCAAAGCCATAAACAAAATCATAGAAATAATTAAAGTTAAAGATTAAAATTGAACAATTTGAACGATTTATTTGCTAATATTTATGGAAAATAGATTCATTAAGAGAGTAAACACCAAACATATTAAAACAAATCTTTAAAAGTCGCCGGAACATTCAAAAATTACAGAAAATTGCAAATAATACTCATGTAATGATGCAGAAATGCATCTGGACAGAGATACAATATATTATGAAAGGTCAGACAATTCTCTTACATATTTTGGACATCGAAGCTGCAAATGTAATAAGTGCACAATGCCCCACACCAAATGTTCAAAATGTAATAACAATTTATCATCTCCCTCTGCCTTGTCCATAAAACATTATCCCAAATGAATGTAAGCTAAAAAGTTATTTATTTAATTCGGCTTCGCCTTTCGCTCAACTGACACAAATACACGTACGAATTGATTTATTTATGGCACTGACGAAGTTCAAGTTGAGGGTCAAGCGGCGACTCACTAATGAGATACAGCGGAGTCCGCGGCCGAAGAAAATAAAATCACTTGCAGATGCGATCACGAAACTAGTTTTGTGTGTGGAGTCAGAAAGTTGTGGGGAGACGACACGACAGTCATAAAGAAAGGCTCTGGTGTCTCAAAATGTGACACAGACTGGGTGCATATGCAAAGTGGGTTTCTAAAGCGAAACGAGCCGCTGGCTACTGGCTGCTGGCTGCAAGTCTTCGACTTTGACCAGTTATAACATTGAGCAAGTTGTTGCAACTTGGCGAATGGCAACGTCACTTCACTCGTGTTTGCCAGTTTCGCTTTCATTTGGCAGCATCCGAGCGAACGATGACGAAGACGATGACGACTTCAAAGACATCTCGTCATGCAGCCGCTTTGCCAGCAGCCTCTTGGGGAGAGTACGAGCGCCGCGAGAAGAAAGGCTGCGGCAGGCCAATCAAACTGGAAAATTGGAAAAACGGCGAGTAGGAAATTTTATAAAGGCCCAATGATAGCACAATTTCTGCACAGTTGTGGAGCAGCCGCCGTTCGGGAAAAGTTGGAAAAAGTTTCGCCAACGCGCTTGGCCTTGAGTGAGAGTGAAAAGTGGCAAGGTCGCACAGCTCCATGGGGAAATTACTGTTGCTCCTGCTGTTGTGGGCTCTGGAGCTCAGTCATGGCATTAAAGTGGAGCTGCCGCAGCTCCAGGAGGTGCTGGTGCCCAGCAACAACACCTCGAGTCCGCCCGTTTATCGCGTGTCCCGGCCGGAGCCCAAGCAGCCGGAGAAGCGGGTGCCCACGCACCTGCAGGACATTATGCGACACCCAGGCTATGTGGATGATGATGCGGGAGATGTAATCCGCATCATTGAGCCGCCGCAGCACTTTCAGCAGCTGAAGCGCCTCAGGCAGCGGCAACCCCTCGGACCCGCAGTCGTCTGGGAGCAGCCCCGCAAACTGAGCAGCAATCGTACGCCTACACAGCCACGCCCACAGCTGCCCAACGGGGATCTGCTCACACAGGAGACGCAGCACGCGCCACAGGCCAACAATCTGCAGATTCCCATGGAGATTCTGGCTTCAGTGCGAAAAACCGAACGTCTGCTGCATCGCCAGCGGCAGCTGGCAGCGGGAAAGCTCCCGCTGGGCGTTCGGCAGCGCCACATCCAGCGGCAGTCGCACACGCTGATCGCACAGAAATCTCTGGAGCAGCAGCTCTACCAGCGTGGCCAGCAGCAGCGACTGCGAGCGGTACTCAGCCGGAATCAGCAGCAGGAACACAAGCGGCCAAAGCGCATGAAGCGGGCGGCACAGAGCGGCGCCTACGATGTGCAGCAGGGCCTCAAGTTGGTGGCGCACATTGGCGATTTGCTGCGGAATGCCACGCTGTATCTACCCGACGATGAGGGGGACGGGGTAAAGCTTAATGAGGTGAAAAAGTCAACGGCGTGCAGCGGCAATGCAACCGCCAACTGCGACAATCGACGACGTCGCCAAAGGCTGTTCAAGCCATCAAAAACAGCGGAGAAGCAGAGGGAAAAACTGAGGGAGAGGCGTCGCAACTTCCGCCATGAGGCAACAACAACAACAACAACAACAACAACAACAACTACAGTCAAATCAGCAACAAGAGCCGCAACATTGAGTGGCAATTCAACAACTTCCGCAACACCGCTGGCCAGCCGCCTGGTAAATTCACGTAAATCATCAAATAAAAATTGCCACCACGGCGTTTCGCTGGGCCGCAGCGATGATTCCATACTTTATGCAGACATAATGACAAATATACGCCAGCTATGGCAGGAGCAAGACGAACTCCTTGGCGCAGCACCACCGCAGTTCATTGCACCGCATCAGGTGGCAAACAATACGGATTATCGGGCGCTGGATGTGTACCTCAAGGACCTCGATGAGCTCTCCAAGCGACTTCCCACAGTGGCGTCCATAACTGGTCTGAATCGTGAGGAGTTGGAGCGTGCCACACCGCCGCCCAGTTGGTATTTGATCAATCAGGAGGGCAAGATCTATGAGACGCGACTGAGCAGCGAAACGAAACCCTCATCGTCGCTCTTTCATCGCTTTCCGGACATGCCCAAGGGAGATGGAAGCTTGGACTCCACTCTGGATGTGAAGTAGATCTTCCCTGAGTATTTGTTTATGTAATTTATTTATTTATTTCTAAGCTAGTTGAAATAAAGTGAGAAAAAACCTTTCCACTAGACCTTTGGGTGCTCTCCCAGCTCTTTCAATGTCAAATCTCTGGGTGAGGGTTTGGGATTCTTGCTGGCCAGCCAAGCATTTAATTCAACTAATTACATTGAGAGCCCCCCAACAGCAGTCACAAGTTCTTGGCTAATGCGGCAATTTAGATAAGGCCCAAACTGGCAATTAGCCAGCCCGCGGGCTGCCGTCCCCAGCTCACCAGCTCTCAAGAGCCGCCAACGTGCGAAACGCATTGTCTGAAGCCCTGACCCCGCCCAACATGCAAACTTGTGTGAGAAAATCTACGTATTTTCGGTCAACAGAGAAATATACGAACATAAATACACACAGGTAAGCATCAGCCAATTGAGGAAGCAAGTGCCACGAAAGGGGAAGAGTCCGTGGGTACACTCGGAGAAAAAGAGAAACACGAACGTAATTTATATAAATATTTGTGAATTAAGTACAGAAATAGTGTAAAAATATAGGAGGGTCTAAAAATACAAAAACTACTTCAGAAATAAAATATATTGAACTTGTGGGAAATTTATTGAATTTAAAATTGAATTTTAAATATTTTTAATATATTTAAAATTGAAATTATTTCAATTAAATTGTAAAATATTGAATTTTATTTATTTTAAATATGAAATAAATTGATTAAAATATGGAATTGATTGGATTTGAATTTAATTGAAATTAAAAAGAGTTCTTTGCCTTATAATGTATTTTCATATTAATGGTAAAATGGAACTGGAAGAATTTTGTTTTTAATTTAATTTAATTTCTACTCTGTCCAAGTCCCAGCCTTTTCGCTGCGTGTACTTTAAACACATTGAGAATTGTCCGAGAAATATACTCGTACTCATATGTGACCCACAATTGAGGAAGGAAGTCCGCCGTGACAAAGGGGAAGGGCGGGCGCCATATGTATGCTAGTCTAGCTGACCTTTCTTACACAAATTCCAACTACTTAGAAATGGATCTACGCCAGGGCTCGCTCTTCCCTCTCGCAGCTCCATTTAAGTTTGTGGCCAAATGTTATGGGAACTCTGGGCAATTCTGGGGTTTAATTTTCATTTCCAGCATTCATTTTTGCTAGATGTTTTTTTCTGTTTGTTTGTTGGGGGCTGATGCTCTTTTTTTTATGGATTTAGAATGTTGTCCAGCCACTTTGACAGCAGATGCTTAATTTATAGAGAGCGTGTGTTTAGTTTTTTTGTAGATCTATTTTTTTATGATTATTTTGGGTAGTTTGTGTTGGCGGGGCAAGCAGCAGATAAATTAGATTGGAAAGAAATCGCTCGCCCGCCCGCTCGACGTTATGTAAGCAAATGTACGACTTGGGAGGAACTTTAAGCCAAATGAAAAGAAGGTTATGCTCTGCCCCATTGCGACATTGACCCCACTGCACTGGCCAAGAGTGGGTGGCTAGCTGCTACGAAAAAAACAAGCAAGCAAACAAACATAAGTTGGCCCAAAGCATTGTAATTAGTAGTCGGTCATGCAAGAAATAGAAGGCTCCCCCCTTTCGGTGTGCTCCCCGCTTCATTGATACTCGGAGCGAGGCTTGCTGGTGCGGTGGGTGGTGCGGGGTGGGCTGCATTGTTAGAAGCACACGCAGCTGGAGTCGCCCAATTTGCAGGGCTGTGGTGCGGGCGGCCGGGGCAGGGTAACCGTTTTTCATTCAGACAATTGTTTTGTCGCTGCGCATTGATGGCAGCCGCTGCCGCTGCCGCCGCCGCGTTGCAAGAACCGCGCGGGGTTTGCTTTTTTTTTTTTTTTGGCCATTATAAAAGCCCGTTGTAAGCTTCCAGCGTCAGTCATTCAGTTGCTGTAAGTCCCAAGTGGCATTTCCAACCAAGAGAGCAGAAGAAGAATAAACACCCCCAAACCAAGATGTTCCAGCTGAGATCTGTTTGCCTGCTGCTTGCCTTTGCCCTCGTGGCCGTGTTCCTTGGTGGCACGGAGGCCCTGCCGCGGCCACAGGAGGAGCGTGACGAGGGCGGTGAGCTGGCTGTTGGCGCGGCTGCTGTCGAGGCGGACGATAAGGATCTAGAGGGTGCTGCATCCTTGGGATACGGCTACTATTCGTCGCCCTATTTGGGCGGTTACTACGGCGGCGGTGGCTACTGGCCGCACTACAGCGGCGGCTACTACGGACTAGGTGGGTACGGCGGCGGGTTGGGTAAGTGTGGCAGGCCAGGGGCTGTATCTACACTCTTTTGATGTGTGTGTATCCACAGGCTATCCCTACTACGGCGGCTACTATGGATTGCATCATCATCATGGCCACTATGGACATTACTACTAACGGAGTGGAGTTCTGGCACAGCCTCAATAGAGATTTAGCAGCAGCAGCACCAGGCACCAGGCACCTAGCTTCATCATTAGAGCAATAGCAAGCGAGCGAAAGAGAGAGAGAGATATAGAGATAAATGTATAGCAAAAATATAGAGATAGAATCCCAGCACTAGCCTCAATAGCCAGAGACCAAACCGATGAATGTCTTCGATTAAGCAACAAAATCACAACAAAAAAATCAACAAAAATGCTAAGAAAAATGCAAACAATAAATATACACATATTACATATAAATACAATTTATATTTTGTACAAAAAATAAATGCCAGTGACATTTGGTGGCCAAATCAAGCGGACGACTACCGTTGATTGTTTCTACTTTTGGGTTTAGGATTTTTATGGCCGCCCCAACCATCGTTAAACAAATGCCGGGCAGCAGTGTTCGAACGCATAAAAGCAGCCAGAGAGTAATTTGCAATGCAAATTGGCTGCCATCCCCAAAACATTAGTTTTATATCTTTTCTGTTAATCTAATTAAGGTTTTTATTTTTTAACTGTACAAATTGCTTAGAATTTGTCTTAAAGTCTGGCAGTAAAAACTGGCAGGGAATTACAGCAAAGACAGAGTCGGCAGCTACACGCTGCGTATGCGTAATTTATGAGCAAATGGTACGGGCTCTGTCTTACCATTGTGCAAGGCAATTGTATGAGTCGAAAACAATTTGTCTTGATCGGTTTTTGACAGGCAACAATCGGATATTGGATGTGTCAGACTGCTCGCAGACATCGCCTCGCAAAGGTCACGGAAGTGATGGACAATGGACAACTCAAAGATTAACGGCTGGCCGACGGCTGCCGGGCTATGGTGCGACAATAATCGTTTCAATTCACAGCAGATTTCCATTTTCTGCATACATTTTAGTGTAAGGTTAAAGGCAGTAGCCAAGAATTGACCTCTCCATCGATGCCGTTGCTCTCTCTCTATCCATCTATTGGTTCACCTTTTTGTGTTCATCTTTTTCCAAAAGATTTGTTTGTTTGATCTTTTTGTTTTGGTGTGGACAATAATGGCATTAAATTGGCTATTAAATTATCGTTTAGCGTTTCATTGTGGAGCGTTGCCGAAGCAACCAGCGTGACCAAGCTCAAAATATTTGCCACCAAAGATTATTATTTATTCATCAATTTTGTGTGATTTGGCCAGCTCACTGGGCTCCTCCTCTCCTACTCTGACTCACTTGAGGTCGCAAATTAATTAAAACGTTACCCAAATGGACACGAAACTTGTTTTAATTAGAGTTTTTTGGGTGACTTCTGTTTTGGGCAAATAAATAAAGCTAATTCCGGTCCAGCACTTTCGCACAGTTGGCCCATAAATTGCTTTGATCTCATTTCTGGCTCACTCTCTCTGACTTTGAAATTCGTGAAAAATTATTTTTAAGTTGAACTGGAAAAACTCCACTGAAATTCACTTTTCAATTGTCTTCTTTGTTGTGGTGGCCGGCCTGCCGCCGCTTGAGATATTTATTGTACGAGTATTGTGTCCGTCTCTCATTCAATTTTTGGGGCCAGTGAATACTCGTGCTCAAGTGCACGAAATGTCAGAAGCACTGACCGAACAGTGAGGCAAATAATAATCAATTTTGAGGAATTCCTATTGAGCTTTGTGCTATGGAAATGAATTGGATTCTGTCCACTGTGCCTGCGTAATTACATTTCAGATTTAATTATAAAAAACAGAAACTGAACTAGTAATTTGATTGCCCGAGTATTTGTTTGTTCAGCGTTGTGTGGGCTGGGGCTCTGATTTATATTTATATCTCAATTAGATGCTAAGACGATCATCATTAGCGAGTGACTGTGGCAATTGCATTCGAAACGCACTCAGCACCAAGCCTGAGAAGCGGGAATATAATTTTAAATCCTCGTAAACTATCAATCTATATGCCAGGGGCAATCACAGACACAGAAAGGGAGCTTAAAGGTGTCGTTTCGCAAGCTGCTGCCTGAGAAGTTCCTGCTGCGACAGGTTCGTGTCTTAAGTCTTTCGTCTTTCGTCTTTCGTGGAATTATCATGTCAGTCACGTATGCGGTCGAACAACAATTGTGGCCACCAGTCCCGGAATCTCTTTCTCTCTCTCTCTCTCTCTCTCTCTGTGCACTAGGTGCGGCTTTGCCACCAAGGACGCTGCGGCTTGGACGCACTTGAACCCGCAATCCTGTGCAGCTGACCATCAAAAATGGCCATTGAACTGGCAACCAAAAACTTGTTTTGGGTTAGCGCTCTTTTCTCTCGCCTTTTGTGGCAGCTGCTTGCTGCGGCTTTTGTGGTTGAGGCAGGCCGAGCGGTCCGAGACTGTAATGGTCCGCATTTTGCATACCAAAGGCATTAAATCTTTTCGGATTTCGGACTTGGCCTTGCACAATATAAAATCTGATCTTCATGTAGGTGAATAGAGCGAGCGACGCCACAGGGAGCGATACGAGCTGCTGCCGCTCTGTGTGGGGCATGCTCGACTTGGCAGCCACGACAAGTGGCAAGGGCAATCAATTGTGTCCGCCGGAATGCAACCAACCAGAAACGTGCTTAAAATAGAAAAAAAGAATGCTGGGGGAACTGCTCTGCTCAT